ACCCTTGCCCGTGCGTAAGGGGAGCATGGCTGGCTGGCCTTCGCCTGCTGACCTCCGGGCCACCATCAGCACCTCATAGAGACTGGAAGGCTCCAGCTCTGACAGCCGCAGGGTCTTCTCACTGCCAGGGACGCGGACTGTATGCCAGCTCCCCACCACTGTTCCCATTTCATCGACCTGACACAGCGAAAGACACAAACAGGCGGCCACACACACACGCACAAACATAAATGCAAAGACAAATAAAAACACATGACTCAAAATGACAGAGAGAAAAACAAAATCATCTGTCGCTCTATAATCTTCCACAGCTCTGCCTCTTTTCCGACTCTGAACAACAACAGGCAACGGCCTCAGAAACAAAGCCTGTGAGATTTCAGTCATAATTTCCAACTGCAGCAGAAAAAAAATGAAGTCCTTACCAGTACTGATGTGGTCTTATAGCCTGAGTGGATTATTAACTGAAGCAAGGCTTAGGTTTATGTCAGAATATGAACAAATATTTAACTTCTACAAGTCAGAGTCTATTAAATTAGAGGCAAAACCAAACCACCAGTTCCTGTGCAGCTGGTGCACAAACATCTGGTTTAAAAAAAGACAACTTTTGGATAAAGAATAATTCAAATATTAACAGCAGTTGCCCTCTCACCTTACGGTATTTCACAAAATAGGCGATGATTGGACTGCCTCCGTCACGCCCAGCTCTCCATTCAAGATCGTACATATCTGGCTTGTGAGTCTGCGGGGGGCTGATGATAATCGGTGCCTCTGGGGTCGGACGGTCGCCGCTCCGCCGCTCTGTCGGTGAACTAATGGTTCCATCTATGCTCTCTTCTTGCCCTTCATCACTTTGCATTGGATGGAGTGAAGGTGAAGGCTCCAGTATCACACCAGAGGTGAAACCCAGGTTCAGATCTGTCAGGGATGAGGAGTGGAGTATAAATTAATCAACTTTTTTTTAATCACTGTTCCTTAGACTCTCTTCCTCTTTGTTTGTCCTATGGTTTCATTAATTTTTAATCACTAAATTGTTTCCCTAAGTAGAAAAGGAGCTTCAGCCACCATAGTGGTTTAGTCATCTGTAAGACAGGAGTGCTACCCTCTCCACCACTGGGTTGTGGGCTGCATGTTTGGGTTTTTTTTATTAATTTTTTTATTAAAGTCCAACATATGTTCTAGAATTGTTCAACATAGAGCTTCACCACTAAAAGCTCCACAATGGACCTTTTATTTTTGATATGTCAACAAAGCTGACATTTGGCATCGACATCCTCACAAGTTTAAAAGTGGACAGCTGGACTACAGCCTGTGGCCTTGGAGTACATTTCCAAGCATATATTTTACTACTACAGTACTACAGTATGACAATTGGCTTAGTGTATTTTCTGGAGAACGTACCTGTATAGGTTGGTGAATTTTATGTGCTGTATGTTTTTTTGAGGGCATGTTTTGAGCACTCTTCATAAAAGCTGTACTGAAGTACTGGCACCGGTGTGTGCCGTGTGACTAACAAAGGTGGCTCTACACCCCAACAGAGGACGGCCAGTGCTGGAAAATTTTACATTTTGGAACAAGCTTTTAAATCTACATAAAATAACAAGAAAAATCTGGATGTGAGTGGCTCGACATAATCACGCTTTGTTTGTTTTTTTCATTAAAACTTCACCAGAGCCAGAGAAGTCCACCTGGGCAAATCGTGCGAGTGGGGAGCTTTATTATGGCTGACACAAGTTTGGCAGAGCTCAGGCGGAATTTTTTACCAAAGCAGTGTCCACAAGACTGAGGAGCTCTTTACCCCAGGCCACACCACTGAGGCCAAAGAGCAACATACATCTGCGTTCAGATCTAGAGTAAATAGGTGGGTTCAAGCGGTAACACTTGCAACTGCACAGCCTGGATGCTGCTATAAAGTGTTATAGGTTTGTGCAGCATCGGTTCACTTTGTAAAACAAACAGGCCCGGAGCTGGTAACACTAAACCTGATCCTGGGACTACGGCCAGCTGCCACACATTCCACACACCAACCATTAAAATACCGAAGAGAATCGGACCCCAGCGCTACACTGAGTCCTCTACACCCTCTGCTGCTCGTTCCCTCCTCCTGCCCTACAACACTTCTGCCTCTCCACAGCTCTGACTCATGCTGAACCACAGACAGGACTCCACCTCTTACACACGTATATATGGGAGAAGGCATTTAAGGCCATGGGATCCTCATGATGGTGAGGTAGGGTACCACTCTTCCTTCCCGGAAAAAAAAGGTCAGTCCATTAGAGGAGAACAAGCTGATGAGTTAATGTGACTCTAAATCATCCAGGATTAACAGCAGAGACAAGAGCTGCTGAAGAAACACTCGGTTTTGGAAAGAGGCACTAAACCAACTACAGAAGATAGAAAGGCCAACATTTTATAGGGGGGGTAAACAGGTTAAGCAGTCAAGCAACAGCAACGTTAACTAAACAATGTGTCCGGCTTAAGTCAGGTAGTCAATATCTGCAGTCTACATCTGTCCCAAAGACACTGCCTTGTCAGGTTTTCTTCATTTGATTTGACCCAATGCACCTTACACCAGGTTTTCACCTTTGTTTACAACTGATATCAGCTTTTTGGTTTTCACCAGTTATTGACGAGGAGGCAGCCTTCATTTTTCACTTTCTTCAGATTCATAGAACGACAGATGTTAAAGTCGAGACCCCGGCCTCAATTGTGACACAGCCACTGTACTCTGTGCTGCTGCCTTTGTCAAACAGACAGGTCGACCACTGTTGGTGGGAATGGAAAGTTTTGAGGGAGTTTGAAAAAGAGGAGACTGTCCATTAATATAATTGTGAAATTGAACAATCCTTCATCAAGGAAGGATCCACTTTCTGTAAAACTTTCCTCTTCAACACGGCCTGCACAGACATTCTGACCCAGATAAGGGACTGAATCACTGCTGAAATCAACATTTTCTTTTCCTCAGCAAAAACATAACATGCAACTATGGAAAGTCACAGAATCCGCCCTTTGCTTTTTGAGTTATGCTGCTGACAAGCAAACAAACACACAAATAAATAGACCAGTGCAGCCCAGAATATACAGTAGTCTCCCTGGTAGAGACAGTTATCTTTCACAACACTCACATTGTTGCCTAAACTTTTTTTTTTAATGCAGGCAGTGCTGTTTGGTAACAGGGGGAATGGGACAAGAAGTGAACAGCCAATCATGAGAGAGTTTAGACACCACGTCTCCCCTGTACTGCATCCAACAGGACAGATGAAAGCAGGTTGTCATGGTGATGGAGAAAGACCGCCACAAACACAAAACATATTTTGAGCTGCTGTCTGTGATGGATTACAATAACAGACTACACAAGCTATGGATAAAGTTTACTTTGGATACAAACAAGGGGGGGTGATACACTCAGGAGCCTGACGCACAGACACACACACACACAAAGAAATACACACATACAAGCACTGACCTGCTTATCAGGTCCGTGCTCTGTTTTGTACATGGACATTATCAGATATTCAAGGTCATTCTTCTTCCTGCCTCTTGTCTGACTCCCTACATGTAGCTGTACTGAACTCTGTGAGGGATGGGGTGAGCTGGGGGTCTTGTTCAAGAGCATCTGGGATGGGGGGTGGTGGTGGAGTTTTGAAGCAGGGAGAGAGTTGTAATATGTTAATAAATAAAAGGCAGTTGTGTATGATGTTGACAGCTGGGTGGTCTGTTCCTCGTCATAACCCTCCATTGCTACTCCTTACATTCCAGCGTCCGGGGGCTTATCCCTGGCGGCGTGCACAAAGCTCACTCTCACGCTCAGGCTCGGTTCAAGGCTCAGGAGGAGGGCGGCCTTGGCAAAACCTTTCCTACCGGCCTCACAAAAACACACGGTAACACACGCTAACACACCCTGACACACATACAGTACACACAGATACAGCAAGGGCTCCCTGAAGATTCCTAAAATACTGCCCCCTAGAGGTACTGACTGCCAGGACAGATCAACTTGTTTCTTTAATTTTCTTCTTTTGTACCTTGCTGTGTTTTTTTACACAAAGTAGACTTCTTCTGTAAGGTTATGGGTTTCATCCCAGCATGCATTACTCTACATGCCCTCAGCATGATAAAGAGAATGAGAGGATGACCTGCATTACAGATTTTTATACTGTATATTCCATTTAGTAAATATAATTTGATATCTGTTTTGGGTGTATTGCCATACGGCTCAGTAGTACACGTTGACTCAAGAAAGGGAATTATACGGTACCAGAGAAAAAAGCTTTAAACAAAATCCAAACATGAAAGACAAATCTTCATACCTGGTTTTGTTGTTAGCATTCCATAGGACTGTGTGGAGCCAATCCCATTATCCGCTAGACACTGATAGAGGCCAGTGTCCTGTGATGTCACATGTGTAATAACAAGGGAGGAGCCGAAGATCTGAAATCGTTGTGATGACACGATGGGCTCGGCGTTAAAAAGCCATGTGATGTTCGGTGAGGGATTTCCTCTCACTAAACAGGTAAAATAAGCCGGGGAGCCAGGAGAGACCAGCTGATCAGTCAGACCCTTCTCAATGGACACTGGCTCTGTAGAAATGACAAGAGATCAACTTTACTATCAACATCTAGACAGCCACTACTTAATGCAGTGTTTCCACTCTTCTTGATCGTCCCATGTTGACACAGTCACCACTATTTACTCTATTTGATTCCTTAAAACAGATATTCTCACAGAAGAAAAAAAGTACTGATTATTCTCACTGTAGCAAAAAAAATTAAAAAACAAATAATTGTGACCTGATGTGTCACCCTTGGTGTGGGCCCTCACCCCCCACTTTGGAAACCGCTGTAAAAGTATAAAAGACAATGATAAGTTTCTTCTCTTTTTCTTACCAACAACATTCACAGTGTAGTTTGCGCTCTTCACAGTTCCCTGCTCAGTCTGGGCAGCACAGGCGTACGTTCCATTGTCATTTCTTGTCACTGAGGCAAAGACCAGGTTGTTGTGCTGGTGTTGATGTGAAAGCTCTGCCGTTAGCTCCTCGCCGTTTTTAAACCACTTGGCCACTGGTGGTGCACTTCCAGACACAATACACTCCAGTATCAGCCGCTGAGACTGTAGCACTGCAACAGCCTTTGGAGCAGTGGGGTAAACTATCCGCACAGAGGAGGTGACTGAAGCTAGACAAACCAAAGTTAAACTTTAGAGGATGATGACAGCAAAGGTAACTGGAAACCATCCGGTGCTTACTGACTTACGTTTTACTGACACCTTGGTACCATGAGGCTGCACAACGGTTTCACTGGTGACAGGGTTGAATGCACCGCATTTGTACATGCCCTGGTGCTGGGCTGACACTGAGATAATCTGAAGGTTCCCCGAAGGAAGAACTAAGTAGTCACCTGAAAAGAGAAAGAAAAAGAAAAATATTTCAATTGTGAAATATCTAGAATAGTTGCATTTCTCCAATTTATCTGTAGTTAAAAAGTTCTACAAGGTTTTTTTCCTTGTTTTTTTTTTTTTCATTCCAACCCATTTACCTTGGATTTAAAGTTTTACTTATTAAGCCCTCACTGAGAGTATAATTCACCTCTGGTAAACAATTCATACACACCTGTTGACACCTCCATCCACTCCCCGCGTACTTTTAGTCTAGGAAGTGCAGGGGGTACACTGAATGGTAGAGGACACTCTATAAGAGCATCGCTACCTTCCTGTACAGATAAAGACCGCCGCCGACCCTCTTCATATTCTGAGATTTCTGTATGGAAAACAAAAAAGATTAAACCTTAAAAAAAAAAAAAACACCAGAGTAAACATTCAATACAAGCTGAGTAACAGCTGAGAGAAGAGTAAGTGCCGGCAGTGCTACTTGAGTTAAGTTGTTTGTGTTGGATGACTGAGTTTGTTTATTGATGCATTAAGTGATTCTATTCAGCTTGATACAGTTGAAGATCAAGGTCAACCCCTTAGTGTTGTGTCCAACAGCAAGAACCATCCCAGCAGGAACATAACACACTACACAGGAAAGCCCCAGGCTCATTAAGGATACCGGTCAAGAGGCATCTGGATGAGCGCCCGGCTAAAAACTCCTACTGCTTCCTTCCCTCCGTGTGAGCAGCAGGCAGCTGAGAAAGGCAATGCATCTAAACGTTCAACACTCACAAGTGTTCTTCCTTTTTTTCAAGGATACTTCCTCCCTTTCTTAACTATGCTGCTTTGAAGTGTGCACACAAGGGTAATTCTCTGTATCCGTACCTGCTATGTCCACACGTGCTAGGCTGCTGGCGATGGCCGGCCCATGTTGTAAGCGTGCCACACACTGATAAACGCCTACGTGGTTTGACTTAAGAGAGGAGATGAGAAGCGAGTGTCCACTGAGCTCCACTCCTGAAAGGGTATCCTGGTTCAGGGGAAGACCTTGAAAGCGCCACGAGACTGAGGCGGATGGAGGATTCACCGAGCAGCGCAGACGAACAACAGAGCCTTTACTCTGGACGACGGATGATGGCTCTGAGCTAAAAGATGGATAAAGGGCTGAGGACGATAATAGGAGAAAAAGAAAAAAAACAGGATCATTTATACAGTCAGTTTAAACTTCAGAGGAGATGTTTTCATTCAAATAGCAGCTGTGAGCAAATAAAACACAGAAGTTTTGAAGATTAAAGCGCATTTTATCTTTACTGCATACTACAACTTACATGAGCAGCTGATAAGAAGAGTCTGGCTGAGATACAGCACAGTGGACAGGAGGACCCTTAGGCCATTGTCCATGTTGCACTTTGACCCCTGTCAGCAGCCGTTTTGAGCAGCACGTACAACCCCGTCTGTTCGGCAAACCTGCAATTCAAAAAGAGAGATAACCCACATTAAAACGATGAGAATATGAGGAAAAAAAAATATGGTAAAAAAAAAACATTTCATATAAGCATTTTGTCTTTTGAACAACCTTCTCTGTAATCTCCACCTTTCACCCTCTGCTCTGACCTGTCTTCTCGCCCACTTCACTTTTTCCATTGAGGTATCTCTGCTTTTCTAACCCCTGCTCCTTGCTCCCACTGAGCAGCGGAGGCCTTTTGCTAATGGAGAGGCTCTGAAGAGACTGTCTCTTCGCTCCTTATATCACTCTCTTGTCACACTGTGTTGCCTTCTCATGGATTCACTGTAGCCTGAAGTGCAGGTCCAGACACACAAGGAGACAAGAGAGAAGCTAGAAAAGAAGGAGAGGGCACGTAATTAGGAGCATTCCTCTATCCTTTTCAACCTGACCCCCTCCCTAATGCAGCACCTCCTCCTACTTTTTCTTTGAGTAATCCGTTCAAGCTTTGATCCCAGGTTGCTGGTTGGTAACCAGGGTTTGAGCCTGAAGCCTGAGGGACAATGGTTGTCCAGCTGTGATATTCACAGTGGTGCATCGGCAGCTCGCAGACGTTGGCGGAAGGGCCAACTGAGGCTCAAAGGTGGGTCAAATAAATAGGATGATGTCTGCGAGGAATCACTGGAGCTGAATCTATACAATGTTTCAGGTGCTCCATGAGATGGGGTTTATTATTGTTCTATATTGACACGATAAGGATTAGCAAAAGAAAACCTGGTTAATATACAACAAGTAGTCCTGACCGACTGATAAATGACCTTAGTGATTAATCAGTTATCAGCGTTTGCTTCACTGGGTTCTGAGTGATGCTAAGCAGACTTGCTCCTCTGTGATCTCACCAATGGGACACAGATGCTTTATTCTCAGCACTCATTCTCACTCTCTTCATCTTGCCTCCTCTTTCTCAGAGGGTAACATGAGAGTAAGAGCAAAAGAGAGGCAGGAAATAATAAACTCTTCCAGCTCCTGGCTCACGCCCCCTTCTCACCCTGAAGTCAAAGGTCAAGGAAGAGCAGAGAGAGAGGGTGAACCAGCGGGTGTCTGGTGGCCCTGGACCAGCCCACAGAGGTCACCTTAAGCTTTCTCTTTGAAACTGCCACAAAAATGAGAAGAAGAAACTAATCTACAAATAAAACCGTCTAAATGTTAACAGTCATACGGCTTTGACAAAGTATTTTCATAGTTGTAAAAATAAAACACATCCAGGTCCCTGTGAACTTTTGACTTTGGTGGTGGAGCAAACTCCACTATGTATGTATTGGGTGTATGCACCACAGTTTAAGTGTGTGCCTTGTCATTCAGGCAGATCAAACCCACATCTTTAAGGCTACTGTTTCTGCATCACAAGTTATAACAGGTCCACACACCACTGCTATCTTTTCTTCCTACTGGAATAATGACATGCTATTATGATAATTAAAAACAACACTACAAGAATGCACAGTACAATGTAGGGATATTGAAAAAAGAAGTGAGAAAAAAGTGAAAATTAAAATCTGAAAATCATTCTTAATAATTTTTTTTTTTATATAAGAACACTTTTCCTACAATGTGCACAAGACGCTCTGTGTATACACTGCATACACACTCTCAGCTGTCTATCTGGTACAATGATCTGGCACAACGAGGAAACACAAGGACATCATTCCTCTTCCTTATCTGTTTGGCTTAGTGCTGACATCCGCCACCATGAAGCTGCCTCAGAGGAGACAGACACTATAGAGATATCTTGTATCCCTCATCACAGAGTCACCCTAATGCCGGCAAGAGTGTTGGATAGAAAAGGCAAATCCTCCTTGTTCATAAGCAGATGACCAGACAAAGGATGGTGTGGCCCTTTGACAAAAGGGAAGTCCCTGTCAAATGGAGCCTGATCAACCCAACAGGCGTTTCCTCTTGTCCTGTCTTTATCTCTGGCCAATCCACACCCTTTCTCTTCTGATGTCCTTTAAATTCCTGACTACAAAACATAATAGATGTGTTCCAGATTTTTTTCTCTAGAGTATTGGCTCTATTTTGTGTTAACCTACAATTTTGCACTTTTGCATTTGATGCATGACCAGCACTCAGTTCAGGGTCTCTCGGCTATAATTTAAAGTTAAGTCCGGTCTGGCCCAGAGACCATGTGTTGCTCAACAGTAACAGAGAGAGAGAGGGAGGAATAAGGTTAGAAAATATTTCCTTTTTAGGGTGTAGCGTGCAACCTGTGACTGTTTAGGAAAGATTTGACTGACATCTGGCTCATGTGTGTGAAAGCAGGAAAACAAAAACTCACATCTTTATGTTTTGACCTTTTTGAATCTGTGTTGGGTTTTTCCAGAAAAAGTTTTTGCAAATCTTTACCATGGCTTTCAAGACACAAAACCTTTGTTCATCTGTCATCAAACTCAGCACAGCAACAGTATCCTCTTCATCTATGTTGGACAAGATGGATCCATGGTGATGACACAGGGCAAAATAAACAGACCAACAGGATGCCCTCAGGGATGGTAAAAAGGGTGAGTGTTGGGGTGAAAATGGTTTAGCACCTGCACTTCTTTTTAGGCCTCTTCTCTGCAGGAACTACTTAAAGCCTCATCTGCCCCCATGTGGGGCTGGCCCATATTCTTGTCATATTGGGTAAACAAGGACAAAAGCAACACAGCGTAGCATCAAAGACCTGGAGGGCAGAGCATGAGCAGGTCAGAACTAGTGCTGCTGACTGAGACAGGGGCCAGAAGTCTCAGCTTCACACCATTGCACAGTTGAATGAGAACCAATGGTAGACACCATGAAGCAGCTTTACTGTCTATTTGCCAGTGCTGCTGACAAGAGGCTGATTAAAACCTAATAAATCAGAAAGTTTTTTTATCTCCAAGTAAAAGAAAAACTAATTTCTATGATATGGCAATTAAGCACAAAGTTGCAGAAAACAACTTGAGGCTTAAATAAGGTGTAACAAAAAGAGCAAGTCTTTTCTGGTATGATGGTCTAATCTGACATGTGTGCTGTAGCTGATTCACATGCTATACCCCAAACCTGTCTGCACTCGCCCCACATCTCACTGACAGAGGATCTGCAGCACACACATTCCTCAGGTTCACAGAGAGAGAGAGAGAGAGAGAGAGAGAGCGAGAGACAGAGAGACGGACACCTACACACACAGGAGATTGGAGATAAATTCAAAACAAGAAGATGAAAGGTGATGGGCAAAAATATACAAGACAAATGTGAAAAAAAACTCCAGTTGAGGTGTAAATGGAGATGGGGTATCAAGAGGTGAAACATTCACTCAGAGGTCACATGTTGCCATTGCTATATTTTTTTTCTTCCTTTTTCCTTTAGCTTCCAGATAAAGACATAAAGAAAGATAATGGCTGCCTTTCAAACCACATCTGCCAAAAGCGACTGATGATTCAGCCAAACTACATACATCTCAACCAACAAATCTGGAATAGCATCCCTAGAGAGGAGTTTCTATACAGACCTTTATAGTCTCATCTGTTGGCCGGGATGAGCCCAGTGAGGACGCCTGGGGCCACAGATCCCAGCTAATGAGTGGTATGGCCTAACACTGTCTGATTAGAGACTGGGATGAGATGTTTTCAAAAGGAGGGAAGACTGAGAGAAAGGTAAAGAGCCAAAGAAAGTTGTAAGAAAAAACAGGGACATGATTTTGAATCTAGTCAGGGAATAAAGGTGATAAAAAAAGTGCAGAGCTTTTTGTTCCCTTTCTTTGAAACAGAGATAAAGAGATTGAGTGAATAATTGTGTGAACCTAACATCCTGTAAAACACAAAGTCATTAAAGGTAGGACAGCAGAAATCAAATGTAATACACAAAAAGTACTGTCTCTGTCTTAGGAACTACTACCCTTCTGTTTTTCTGCAGGAGGATGTAGTATCAGTGGGCTGGGAGGTGACAACAGGGCTGACTGGGTCCCTGAACCCAGCGACATGACAGTCTTGACGACACCACTGAGGTGGTGTGGGACCAGATGAGAAGTGGAATGAAAGGAGAGGCCCTGGGGATCAGACAGTCACATCCCACAAAGCCTTGTTTACCAAGGACAAACATACCCTTCCCCACACTTTCTCTCCCCAACGCCTCCGTTCAACATACTTGACCCTCCCCAAAGTGCCAGGGCCGGGACCTGGGAGACTGTGCTAATTCTACCCCGAGGCTTGTTGGCATGGGATACAATCAGAGGGCTGAGAAGGGAGAAAAAGTGGGAGCACGTTGGAGAAGGAATTGTACAGTATGTAAGAACCATCTTAATTAAAGATTGTTCAGCAATGTCTTGTTTTTCTTGGGAATTTGTGAGGGGGACGGACAGGAGGGAGAGGAGGTGTGACTGTTTCCCAAGGTCCTGAACAGCAGGATTAACCACAGGGGCGAAACTCAATAGTGGCCTCGGACACTGGAAACAGATCCCCGGGTATCACCACCATACAACTCCACCTCAAGACCTTTTGCAAAGCGCATGTAACTAACAACCCTTCCCTATTGTCAACGCTCTCTAGGCCCTTCCGGCTGATTTCACAGGCCTTTAAGCCCACAGGCGAATGTCTGTTCAGACGAAAAGGTAATTCTGATGGAAAGGAGGAATGCACAAGAAGGCCCACTTGCCTGCAGGGTGTGTTATAACATTGATCTCCAACATGTGCCAAGAGTCTGATTCACTAAGGCAGGCGAGAGGGGAGCTGGGATTGTGCAGCCATAGCAGCAGGGCAGAGAAGGCCACTGATTCACATTCCAAAATATCAGCCTGAATTAGAGATGAGAGCAACACAAGTAGATGCAGGGGAGGAAAAAAACATCAAGCCTGCCAAAAGTCCACCTTCTCAGTGGGAGTCAGGACAGTCTCAGCTTTACTTAAACTCAGTTGTATAGACTGTGAACTATGGGCATACAAATGATCTGATCCAGCTGCCCCGGCTCCCCTTATCCCCTCAGCACAGACTGCAGTCCCTCCCCAACTATC